GGTTTATGGGAGCCTGAAAATGCCGCGAATTTCCGGCTAAAAAGCCGCGATGGAAGTCGAGCTCTATGAATAATTATCATAATCCGACATGCCCCATGTGAGGCGAAAACATACCGGACTTCGGGGGAATCGAGGGACAAATACTTGAGTACAGGGCATGAGCGAGAAGAACTAATCCCAACTGAGGCCTCAAGTCACCAATGAGTTCGAGCTTGGCTCGTAGTCCATGAGGAGGGAACAAGCAAAATCGAACGCCGGCACCGCGCTAGGTCTTTTTCCGGCTCTGAAATATTGACACTTTCTGAGGCTCGAGGCTACTCTCCCTTTCGTTCGAGGGGTCCGACTTGAAGCGAGACGCCAGATTCTGCTTCTGGAATTGAGTCACAGACTCGACTTTCCTTATGTCTGATGAATCATGGTCTGAACTACGAATGGACTCATATCCTTAAGCATTCTGAGAGAGAAGCCTTCCTCGGAGCTCGCTGCTCCAGATCTGCCAGATCTTTCTTCCATGTTGTAGTCACGTGATACATTAAGTTCTAATCCTTTCCAACCTTCTGGGCGAAGCTCGCAATGGTCCAATCGCGGTCACTGCCTGACGCCCGACCCCATTATCCGAGACCTACGGCTAATGCAGACACTGACTGTCACCTGCCAAAACAGTGTCTGATTGTTCCTTCGCCTGCCGCCTTCTTGTCCGCCTGCCTAGCGCGAGTCTGAGCGCGTGGTTCGTTAGCGAGGTCGAGAAATCTGAGTTTAAGCCTCGAGACGTTTCAGATTCGGAACGATCTGCTGACTGTGCAACAATCGCCCGGGAAGAAGCTGGGATCAGCGAAACACTTGTTGAGTGATGAACGGCAGAAAGTAAATAATTCAATTGGAAAAAGGGTTGAGGCAACTCGCCGACCAGCCTCCACATTATGTAGGTGATCCGGTGATCAAATCTCTAATCCTTCCGAAGATCGCTGCATGACTGATCCCATCCTCGTATATCGCTTTTTTTTCCGGAATTCGGTCTGACTAGGGTATGGAGAAAAGGCTTCATAACCACCTCTGCTCCTCAATTCCCACTCACAACCTGGTCAGCCTGGTCCCCGGAGAAGAGTCACAAGGGCTCTCGAAGCTCGGAACGGCAGAATACTCCCCCATACCTATCCAAGCTGGCATTCGTGTGGAGATACTCGCTTCCGGCTCTACTTATGCCAATCGGTTCCAGAAGGCGACAGAGGTAGTATGAAACAAATATTTTTGGGGGGGCATTGGCCCCCAATGCCCCCCCCCCTGAATACGCGCCATGAATAGCGACCATGAGCAATAGGAAGGTTACTTACAGGGACTTTGGATCAATGCTTTCCTCCGGCTCGAATGGAAGCTCACCGACGCCGACGGCGACCTCGGGCATACTTCAACATTTTCGCTTGAGTAAGCTACGAGGAATCAGCAGGACGTCTGCGCGAGACGACGTGTGCATACGAATACGCCTCGCACCCATCGCTGCTCGGTACCTACATGGATGGCCTCCAGAGCCGTTTTTCGAAATCCCATTCCTGATGAGCCTCGTCTGAACTTTTCACGGCTGAGCGTTTCATGTTCAAAGTTCTGTACCAGAATCCTCGCCTACCCTCGTGAATTTCCAAACCATCGAAGACCGATATTTCGATTCACCCAGGCCAATTCTTGTCGGGGCGGCGCGCCAGATACCATGAAGTTTTTCGAATGAAACTGCGGCTGTGACGCTTAGAAGTAAAGCCCGTGCTTACAAGCATTCATAATTTTTTCATTAATCATTTATCGATATTTTATTCTCAATTTTTTTGGATTCTCTCCCCATCGAAAAAAAATATATAAATCAATGATTACAGCAACTACTGGAAAAGTGATAAATGCTTGGATCCACGGGCTCTAAACATAAAAATCGGTTCACGCTCTAATAACACTGCGAGCATTGATACCTCGCATGGGTCGCGCTGCGGATTGAGACAGTCGCTTCCCGGCATCTGGAAGTGTTCTTCTCTCGAGCGAGAACTCGACAGGAAACCATGCGCATGACAGGATGGAATCCTCTTATGTGGGAGAGCAAAATAAATTATGCCCGATAATTGTCGAGTGGGCCATGCGCTCTAATCTGCGCAGAGAAAGCGGTCCACCTTCCTAAATCCATCATCAAGCATGCTCGAGGGTGATCCAGAGCTGAAAACAACGGGAGCGTCAGAAAAAGGGGACGCCCACTACTTCTGCGCAGACATGAGCAACACTCTCCAAAGTCTCACTCCGGTGTAGGTCACGAGGAATAATTCCTGATGGAGATGATCATTTGACTCGGGAGAGCGTCGCTGAGACACCGATAAATTCCATAGCTGATGAAAGTGTTCCTCATCCTATGAGCGTTAACTCTTGGCGGCCACTGCATCCGCTCCGCGTTAGCCTGGGGCGAAGCTTCGATTGAGAACGGGACTTGATGAATGAACGAGCAGAGTGACCGAAAAAATTAGCCGGCTGGGCAGCCTGCTAGCCACCCGGTAGCGAATCAGAAAGCGTCAGACAAGGTTCACATAGAGGGCCTACATCCGTGACGTCGGACAGAACAGCGAAAGGGTTTTCAAAGGGATGCAGCTGGACCATGAACTGTCTCGAGTCCGCGCCTTACCCGAGCGTTCGATTGTCCCGGCTGGGATCACGGTACGTCGATTGTTGGTCGAGAGATCCCGGATATCCCGTCATTCGCCGCTCGATTGGACCATCAGCTGGCAGTCTAGACCTCCTCAATCGTGATGAAAGCTTAATTCCCAGCAAAGGAGAATAGGCGAAACCAAATGTATCTCCCCGGGTTGGGTGAACCCGAGCGGTATCGAACGGAAGCGATTCAAAGCCCTTTCCGACACCGATGCGCCCATCGTCCTGCGACGCATGCGACGGAGACGTCGTTCAGAATGCGTCAGATGATTCGTCGTCAAAGTATGTTGAGCGAGCCTTCACTATGGCGTGTCAGGCTGCTGTCAAGGGTCCTGCGCTCACATGGCCGGGAGACGACTTCACCTGACCAATGGCGGTTCTACGACGAGCTCAGCGCTTGTTGTTCCTATGAGTCATCGAAACGAAACGAGAGCGTGACTAAGCATTCGTGTAAGAGCCAGGAAGCCTCCCTGGGCTCTCAGAAACGGAACTCTCAGAAAAGCTTCCTGAGCAAATCTCGGCTATTCGCTCCGTCCGGGTCAGGCATCCCGCCTTCCTAGACGTATACGAGATACGTATACTCCTCCGTGTGCGGAGGAGACACGCTCTGAACAGACTCGCGAGACTCGAAGTATCGGCGTCCATGGCCGGAAACGAAAGAGGCGTATGAGAGGCGATCCGCGAGAAAACTTTCGCTCACTACCCCGACGAGGCATCCGCGAAGCTTACCCGCGAGACCTCGATTCCGCGCTCGGAATTCATTGTCCGACGGGTTCCGATGCTCACTCGGCATTCTGGAGTCTTCGGCTGAGTGCCAGCCTCAAGTCATAGAACCTCAACTTATAGGGGGATCCTTCGTCTGATCGAGCTAATCCCATTCGATACACCCCCAAGAGGGATGGGAAGGAAACGGATCTCCCAGGCTAGCCTCGCGGGGCCAGAACCGCCGCGAAAAGATCCGAGCCCAACCTCCAAGCGTCGGTAGAAGATTCTGTCGTTCGAAAGACATGGACAAGGTCCAGAAGCTCGGGATGCGGCATTCCCGAAGGATCCTTTGCGGCCGGAAGGAGGAAACCGATGGGGAGTAGGTTGGCCGACGGCTATCTATATGTCCCTCGTGCTGTTCTCTGCGAAGGCTTGTCGGGAAAGCCTCGGCGAGGAGATCGTAGCTTCCTCGGGTAAATATGGCTCCAGGATTCAGGACTGAGGTCCCGCCCATGAGATGAGCGTTTTCTGACGATATGTCTCCCAGCGTGCGGTCCTCCGTCTTCTGGTAAGGCAGACTCTGCCTGCAGAGGCAGGGACGCCCCCAATCGTTTCGGCATTGCCCGCCCGCCTCTGTGCCCAGACGACTAAAAATCATTGCCTACTGCAATTGCTCACCATACGAGAGCAAACATAACTCCTAATTATCAATTTTTCCTCTGATTGGAAGATCTTTGAGGACCCGTCACCCCCTCCCTTCAAGAGTCCGATCTTGGCCCGGTCAATGCGCATAACGCAACCTCCGAGGTCTCGAATCATGTTCTGGCCGAAAAACATCTGGCAGCGTACCGTTAGCTCCTATGACGAGTCTTACGTGCTACTCGTATCCATGCTGGAAAATCTACACGATTCAACGATGGAGTGTGGCTCAAAACTGAGACAGCCACCCGAAAGCTGCGGAGCTACCCAGAATGAATCCAAATTACGAATGCTTGAAATCGCAAAAAGGCTGCATCACTATCGATGAAACGAAGGAAAAGTATCTCATCCTATATCTATCGAATGGAGACGAATGTTCCTCGGAAAATATGCTGTGAGGCAGGCATTGGCCAGCCCGCAGAATCGACAAATGACGACATCTTTCGTCTCCCGTTTCTGGCTAGGGTCTCGCGACCATTCTCGAAGCGCTCTACCGAGAAGGTTCCTCAGCTTGCCCTTAGATTTCGGCGTTCAACAGCCTCCCTCATCTGGTTCGTGAGACAGTGTACCGGGTGGCAGTGCGAACAAAAAATCATGTAACCAGACAGCTGTATCCCAAGCCGAGTTTACCGTATCGCTTGCTCGCGTTCGGAGCACTCTTGATGACTCTGACTTTCCGATGTCGCTATATCAAAATATCGCTTCGTGACTTCTGTGCTACCAATCGAAAGCGGAGCGATCTAGTAGGGAGAATATTGAAAGTTCCACCCTTCGCCGAAATCCGATTTGAAGAACATCTCGGTCGAGTTCGCGAGCCCTATACTTCACCACCATCTACGAGATATATAGTTGCGAGGGAGTGCTTCTCGCCAGCCAGCCACCGCCCACAGTCAGATCATATAGAGAGACTTCGAGCCACCTTTGGTGCCACTTGCAGGTCGTCTCGAGCTAAGTCGATTCGTATCCAGACAGCGTAAGTGAACTTCTCCAGCCATGAGTGGCCGTGGACCACAGTACGGCCTCAGTGCCTCCGTCGCTAATAAGGTGAGCTATAGGATAGAGGATACATATCATACGTACGCTTATGGCTCAGATTGATTTCTCCGATTGGTGCTTCCTCAAGTCAGCGAGAAGCTTGCGACATCTCTCAATTCGTGACGACTTGTACCGATTCCGATTGATATACAGTGAAAGCTCGTTACTACGGAGACGAAGGGACCGATGAAACTGGTTCGTTGTACCGAGTTTTCGCTGTGAGGGATGCTGCTCAACACTATCCCTATGGCGAGCTGGCCAAAGGAGGAGAAATTCCTTGTTCGTTGTACCGAGAGATTCGTTGTGATTGGGGTTATTATAACGAGCGTTCTTTGTATCACCGAGCTTCCTCTCTCTAAATGATGGCTCGCTGGGAATGGAGGTGAATCTTAATTTCTATGAATTATACAAACCCCTGTCGGGCTCATTCGGGGCGGCTTCAGCTCATAGGTTTCCGACTCCCTCTCGGGCGATTAATCCATTCCGAACGGAGAGTCACCGATTCAACATCGCACTGCGCCGGAACCTCTCTTTCGGGTTCGACTTTCCTGCATGATTGTTAGGACATACAGTAAAAGCTCGTTACTTCGAACAAGAAGGGACCGACGAAACTGGTTCGTTGTACCGAGTTCCCGCTGCAACGAATGCCGCTCAACACTATCCCTATGGCGAGCTGGCCGAAGGAGGAGAAATTCCTTGTTCGTTGTACCGAGAATTTCGTTGTAATGGGGGTCGTTATAACGAGCTTTTACTGTATAAGAGAAACCCACCATATTGCGGACGACTGCGCCGTCAAGCAGAATCTATTGAAATGATTGCAGTTCACACATATGTAAAAATCTAGATGCTCTCCGCCCGGCAGAGGCTGCCGCAATCGCGGCGACCGACTTTACCAACCAAGACAGCGCCATCGGGTCGATGTGTTCTGAGTTTGTTCTATCAGAGCTTCGTCACCCTCTCTCTTCGCGAGGAGTGCTTGAATCTGGGTTGTATAAAAGCTTGCTGCCGGAGGGATACGCGCAGCCCAGGGCTATAGAAGTCGTTCGGCCGAGAACTTTGCGTGCTTCCCCCATCGTTTGTGGAATGGCGAACCGTGGGCCCAGTTATGGGCTGAGTGCCCAAGTGGCAAACAAAGTAAGTATGGTCGCGGTATCCTCCGGCAGGCCATCTTGGCGTAATATTTGAACGGTGAGCTTCGTTAGGTACTTGTGAGTCTTGGTTGGGCTCTCCTCCGGCGGCTTTCGTCGCGATTTTGTTCATCCCGGTTCCGCCGCGTTCGGCCGAGGCCGAACGAGCAATTTCAACGAATGACGTCACAGACTTCGGGTATCGAATGTCAGAGAGAGATCGGCCATCGGCGTTTCGTTGAGGTCACGGCGCTCGTCCCTCGCGAAAATAGAGTTAAACAGTTGATTCCGTCGATCGACCACCATCGGATCTCCTCTCTCGATTCTCCACGGCAAGGGAACTCCCATCATGTCTGCGTCACTCATACACCGAAAGCGGAAAAGCTTGTTTGAGCCGCTATGAATGGGCTGAATTTCGACTCCCGATCCTTTTTGTGAGACTCACTTGATCGTGTGACCCGCGGTCGATCCGAAAATCACTTCAGAAAAATCGAGAAGTCCCTCCGTGGGCGTTGGCTTGCATTATACCCTCGGCGGGATGTTGTGATTGTGATTACCTCCCGGTAGGGTCGTTCCGAGTGGAGAAGAGAGAGATGTTAACAAGGCTCGGCCGACACAGATTTCAATAAGCCAGACTCGAACCAGAGAGCTTTGACCGAGCTCTGCTCTTCTCGATTGTTCGGCCGGGTTGCCACGTTTCGCGTTCGAGGTCGGGTGTTATCGCGGACTAACGAGTTGGCCGTCGATCCGACGGCGGAGAAGGAAACGATCGTGCACTAGACCATCGATAGAAACAACTCGACGGGAGCTCCCAGTCACTCACGGCTCGAGCCCAGCACCTTCCAGCAAAAAATTGACTGCAGAGCCGAGCCTGGAGCTTCGCTTGTCTGAGCCTTTATTCGCACGGAAATTCTACGATTAATCCTGCTCACAGAGACCAGGTGCCTCGCGTGCCTTCTGCAAGGCAGGCTTTAGCCTCGAGCCCTCCCTGAATTTTCGATTCCATTCAACAGTGGAAGCCTCGAATCTGAACAGCAAGTCGTCTCTCTTGGCTGGCTGTAATCATTCGATCTTGTCCGAGACAGGCGAACGAAATAGCATGATGGCGGGTCAAGAGTCAAGAGCCGAGTGACCAAGCGAACCAACTGTGGTCGATGATCTTGCTCTCCTCGAACCGGCATCGTCTCTGTTTACGGATCGACACGGAAGCAACCAGCTGCGCGTATTTGGCGGGTCTCCGGCCCACAAACAAGAATGCGGTACCTGCAGCGGCGATGAGCAACTTCCACGAGGATCGTCCCGAAGTAGACATCGAACGTACCCCACGTCGTGGGCACTCGTTGCCACCACGCAACGTATCTGCTCCCGCCTTCTATCCGATGTGCGTTTCTTTTGGCTGCTGGTCAAATTTCTCAATGCACTCCGAGGGACACTCAGTCAGCCCTTTCGCATTACGAATATCGCGAAAGCTCGGCACCCGACTCGATCGGGTTTCCTCCGCCTCCTGCCGTCGAAAGCGGCACCTCCATTGGACATACCTAAATATCCATGTCCAATAAGTAGGGGTCTGATGTCCTGGCTGGCAACCCACGCGAACATCGGAGCCGATCCAAATGAAATTACGGTCCAGATCGAGTTCCGCGACCGAACGGATGATGTCTTAGGAAAACAAAGTCTTACCCGGCCGACATTTCTCGAGACTACGATGGTCTCCCTATGCTCTCCGGATGGAAACGTGGCCTGCACGAAATGTTTTCGAGGTTTTCTCGGGTACATCCGACCGATGCGTATTCCTCGTCCTTGCGGATTTCAAATCTTCATTTGTTATACTCCGAAGAGTCAGAACTGAGTGAGCTCTCGGACCGTGCTCCGAAAAGCCGGAATGTTCTCAATATGTCGTGTTCGGAGAATAATGGTCCCCGTTAGACATGCGGCGTCTCGCGGTCTCTATTCCCTTAGATTTATGTCGAAGTTCCCCGACGGCCGATAGGATCGGGTCTGGTATTCGTTCCGTCCATCAGACGAGAAGTCGATAGTATACGTTTCAATGTGGAAGTAAAAACAGACAAGAGCTATGGCTCGAGCACTCTTGACCCGAAACAATGTGACTCCTGCTTGTCGTGAACAATCCCGATGTGTGGTGCTCGCAGTCCTCACTCATTATTCCGTCTCCGATTCTCAGCTCGCGGGAAAACGTGACCCTCAGCTTGAAGCCGACATCCTGGCGTGGATGGGGGATATTGTCGGTCAAAAACTACCCGATGGAGCCATCGAAGACGTTCTCAAGGATGGCGTCATCCTCTGCCAGTAAGCCTATCGGATCTGTGATGTATCTCTCGAATCAGTTACCTGGACCCGACCGGTCTCACTCCTGATACGTCTCCTGACCGACGAATGCGCAATCCTTTCAGTTTCATGAACAAGCTGATGCCTGGCTGCATCACGAAAATCAATACCTCTGGAGGCCAGTTCAAGCAGATGGAGAACATCAACCGTTTCCAAGAGGCCTGCAAAGCCTGGGGGGTTCCTGAAATCGATGTTTTCCAGACAGTCGATCTATACGAGAGACGGAACGTGCCACAAGTCACACAGTGTTTGATGGCTGTCGGACGCGCGGTAAGTGTTATGTTCGGCACTGATCTCGACGGATAAATTAATGAATCATTTCGCGCGAAGCGCCCCATAGAAGCGCAATTCATCCCAAGACAGTGGCGGATCATTGATCTATTTCCACAGTGCTACTTCCATCCCGAATTCCAAGGACCATATATCGGTCCTAAGCCCTCCGAGGAGAATAAACGCGACTTCACAGATGAACAGCTGAGAGCTGGCGAAGGCGTAATCAATTTGCAGATGGGCACCAACAAAGGCGCTAACCAGTCCGGACAGAATTTTGGGAACACCCGTCATATGTAAATGTTCGCCCTCCTATTCTGTGTAGTATGTGACTCGAAAAGCGACTCCTCGCAGCTATTCTGTCGGACTAGCTTCTTCAAAGAGGAGCAAACGAACCTTCATCTCCAGTACATATCCGAATTGTCGATCAGTCAGTATGACCCGTCCCGTAATGAATGGCTGCGATTCAACCTTGCTATCGTCCATTCTGAGGATACCCTTATGTTCCCGAAGTCGGAAACATCACTATGCTATGATATGAACGTCAATAAAGATCGACAATGCTTTTTTTTATCGAACTTGGGCGTGATTTGAGCTAATGCTGTTCCTGTCTACATCGTCCGTTGGGCCAGCTGCCAGGTCGACGCTCAGTTCCGTTTACTTTGAAGCGATGAATTTTCTCTGTTTACGTCGGTCGAGGAGAGCTTCGCCGTGGCTGTGAAAGGTCGAGAAGGACATGGCGCTTGCCTGAGCCTTCGCGGAAGTCGTGCTATAGAAATCGAAGAGGTGAATCGCAGCTGTCTGATGCGAGAGGTGGTTTCAGCAGATTCACAGCTGGATGCGTCGCGCGAGGAGCCCTCCATTGAGGAGCGATTTGACCAATCCATCCCGTCGAATATTCAGTACACTGGATGCAAATTCTCCTCGGGGGTCCACCAGGCTCCTGTTGCTGTCGTTGTTGGGGAGCGACGAGAACTTCAATCAATCAGTCTGGAAAAGAAGCCGTTTCGGCGTGCCACTGGCTAAGGGGAAAAGACGCCCGGAGCTGAGCTCGCAATCTCGTAAACGTCGAAGTGCCATATCGACGGGTCGTGAACTTTTGACGTTCAATATCGCCTCGTAAACATGCAATTATGCTTTACTGCTCCTTCGGGAGGAACGACTCAAATGTTTTCAATGATTTATTCTCCTTCCGATCTCGTCTTCCGCGGCATGCCCCGAGTTTTCATTCTAGGGCTCAGAGCCTCGAGCTGCGAAGCAACGATAAAGCAGGGTAAGTCCGACTCGCGAGCGAAGAGACCGTAGGTACGAAATTTCCGAAAGCCCGGGATGGAAATCGCTGATCTGATATCCCCCCTCACCTGAGCCCTGGCGCGGAGAGTCCCCCCCTTTGGCAGGATTCGCAACCCATTAAGGAGAACTCTCCTGAAAATCGGTTGTTAAAGTCAGCGGTCTGATGAGCACAATGGACAGACTTCCGGCCACCGGGAATAATGGCTGTTATTTCTCCGTTCCGTGATCGTATCTAGAACTGGTTCCTGCGCTCCCCAGAAGATGCCAGGAAGAATGACTAACAGCAAATAAGGATACTTATTCAGATGATAGACCATTTGAGGCGGTCGAGCGCGCAAGTTATCCTTCCTGCATTATTCTCGTTCGCTCCTCGGATAAACTACCATACATGTTCAGTCGATTTGAAGGGAGCCCTATTCACCCCGCGATAACCATTCTCGTTGGAGGATCAACGGGAATTTCCCCCCAATCGACGAAACTCCTGGTCCTCTCGAAATCATAGGAATCCCTCAGCGGGATATCTCATGGAGCGATCTCGTTCCTCGAGATAAGACAACCTCAAAGAGGAAAACAAATCTGCTGCTCATGAGCTGGAGACCGAGACCCCTCTGGGGGGCTGCTTCTAATTTTTCATATTGATTCGATTGCGTTCTCGTCGAAGTTATTCCCAAAGACCCGCAGAACGCCTGGGACCAATCCCGATACCGTTTACTTCAAGGCTATTGATCCCAAGGCCATCCCTCCACTTCCTCAGGACAGTCCCCAAGGAGAATGAGCACGCTGTGGGTGACAGAATCGCTGCCTCTCATTTTTCGAATGCAGTTTCAAACTCGATGCTGATCATCGAATCGGGGGCCGTAAGACGCGGGAGCTCGGTTTGGTCTTGAAAAGCTGCCCCGAAATGCCGGGAAGGGAAATTTTGAGTAAACACAGAAACGGCTCACAGCAAACGCTCCGCTCTTCCTGGCCATTCGGGAGAGATCGATCGCGTCTCCGTCCCGGGACCGGTACTCGACAGGGGGATAATATTTAGTCCATTGTCTCGAGACGGAAAGAGCTGTCTGATTAGAGGTAGCCATTCATTAGGAGCGTGACCGTCTCTCCAAGCTCCGAGGAGCTTCTTAATCCAAGCTCGGCTAGCTCTCCTTGCAGTGGGAAAATGTCGACTTAGCATTCCGATGGACGCTCCCCTCGCAGTTTTTGTTTCAGAGCCACTCCACTGCAGATCGGATGATACTCTTGGGAAAAGGAATCATGCTGATCTCTGCCGAACAGCTGTCTCGCTATCTGTTGTGTCATCTCGACGATTTGTCTTCGTTGAAGCGAGGTCGGCCATCGTTAGGATTGCTCGACCAAGCCGCCAAATGTCTTCGGCTCTTCGAAAATCTTTCCAGGAGAGATGTCATGCCCGAGCTGTGACTGACGCTCTTCCTGAGTGAGATACGGCACGACGGCAGCCGCTGAGATTCCTCAATCGTCAGTAGCTATCAACGTCGATCCGCTCCTGATGGCGCTTCGAAGGCAACAGGAGCGATAGAGTATCCCGAACCAATCGTTGAGGATTTTAGGATATCAATCGGGGAACCCGCCCTAAGGACGATACGATATCTGGGACTCCCTCCCGGGATTTCCGAAATGGAGTTGTTTCTGAACTTCAGATGTTCTCATTCTCATTGAGCTCCCTGGAATCGAAGAAGATTGTGAACCTCCCTGTTAGCTTCCTCGGAGACTCTCACATTGAGTGAGTCGCTCTCGTATGACATTAGAATGCCGCTCGCCTCGTACCATGATCAGCGTCAGAATCGTTTTATGCTCATCTACAGTGCATCTTGATTCACTCACCTTCAATCACCGCGCAGTGACATCCCTCGATTCCTCATCCTTGTACAACTCACGGTCATCCCTGATCGGATAACGGGGATACGCATCTCGCTTCCTATACATCGTGATTTCATAAGAGCTGACAGAGACTCGGAGCTGATATCGGTCATTCCGATGCGATACGTTGAGCTCGCCTAGGGTATGACTCGGAAGAGGAGCAACCTGAGCACGGAAGCCTTAATTTACGCGCCCCATATCACGAATGTAATCGGAGCTAGCGGTTCCGGGCGAGATGCCATAATGCCTTCTCGTTGTACATTTCGTCGCTCCTGCGAATCGTTCATGTTCCCCAGACATTCGGCCTATTCAATATACATGTGTACACATTATATCATGCTCAGACATTCTGTACACAAATATAGCTTATGGGAACATCCCGCTGTCATGTCGCATCTGGGGCTTTTGGAGTGGCTCAGGGACGCAGCTCATCAGAGACGAGTTTAATGATAAGCTCGGATCCCCGACTGGGAACGATCTGGCTCACGCGAAGGACGATGGAGAGACTGATTGATCTACACTTTCCTGGCCTCGATGATGATATTATACAAGCCCGACTCCGCACTCGAGTCTCCCACAGCTTCAATCGCAAACCCGAGAGATAGACTCGGAGGAGCGATTCGCACTGGATGTCTTCGAGCCCTACTGCGTGCTATCAGTGAATACGTCAGAGATTCGATCCGATTAGTGTGCGGGGAACGCATGGGGCGACAACACAAGGGAACAGCTTCACTATCTCCAAAGATCAAGTTTCGGAATTTTTGAAAAAAAGCATAGCAGGAATGACCTCACGACGCACTTCGCGCAGGCCAGTGCTGCGGATCCACTTTGGTCGGGGGAGTAAACTTCGAAAACGCGGACGACTCTGGTAGTGACTAGTGACTCGAAATTCTCCGTGAAGCCCACCTCCAAGACGTTCCAAGTGAGCCCACATATCTATGTTTTTGGGGACGGGCGATCCAGAGATCCCAGAATGACCTAGTGTCCAATAGGTGCATCAAGCAATCCCCCTATAGAATAAAGCAGTAATGTCGGTCCGTCATCGTACCAAATATCGGGGTTATTTGTCTGTCAAAAGACTTCAAGTTACTTTGAGTCGATGCCGAATCATTCCCGCTAGCGTAAGAAGTACTTCTCCACTCGATCAACCGCGTCGTTCTCGAGTTATTCCGGAAAATTATCAAGTTTTTCTCCAGTGTTCGCTGGAAACGAAATCCTCTCCACCACTTCTCTCCACATGATGCCTTGTTCCGGCAAGGCGCGCGATTCGAGAGACGTCGCAGCAGCCTACTAATTTCAGCATGATCTAATTTGATAATGATAATTTCCCCCCCTATAGAATAAAGCAGTAATATCGGTCCGGCATTGAACCAAATATCGGGGTTTTCCACTCGATCATCAGAGGAGAATCGAGAGCTACGAGATCGAACGTAATGCTTTCCAAAATTTCTTCTATAATTCTTGAGCGTATCTGATAAGCGATGCCCATATATTTCACCTGTTTCATTACTGCGCAATCATTTTTCCTGCTCCATGGGAGCGATGGGAGAGTCCGACTCTGCATCCATATATCTTTTTGAACTCCAATCAGAGTTTTCTGTTGTGAACATCTTCGACAAAAAGAACTTTGGGACTCACGCGCGGTTTGCCTACATTCTTCGAGAGATTCAGTGACAAGTACGAGAGACCTAAGCAGTGTTTTTTTGTGATCTGTGGAGTTTCGTCACGAGGCTAAGAGGTCTCCTCATTGAATTCGCCATGCCCAAGACAAGTCGGAGGCATTGCTTCAATTCGCCTGCGAATCGACCCGTCAATGGAGATTCCAAACTGTATACACAGTTGTGAGTGCTCATGCGTCGTTCTATTATTCAGATATCAGATAGGCATACATCGGACAGAGGGAATCTCCATATCAGATATTCCTCAGAACAATAACTGCCGATTACTCACGACAAATTCGTTCAGGCCTGCGAAAGCATCGCATCATTTTTCTCATGCTAATTCATGTGTTCATGCTCTTTGGTGTCGTACTCATTCATTGCGAATCGGTATCACGCTTTCCGTCGTAATCACTCGACAAACTCGCTCGGGCCTTGGATAGAATCGCATCCGGCGTGCGGGCAGTTGAGCCGTGAGGGCGCGGAGCGCCCTCCCGGCTCGTCGATTATAATAATCGAAGTCCCGAGAGAGACAGCACGCTCTATTCCACGGCAATAGAACAGCTCAGAGTGAGCTCTCGCGCTTCCTCGAAAAGCCAAAGAATATAAAACAGGATCTTAAAATGCGGGGTGCACGGAAGGATATCCCATGTTTCGAGCGAATGGTTCGTGCCTCATTCCAAGCCATAAAAATCCTTCAAGCGCAAGCGTACCGTCCGTCAACTTCTCTTCCGGCTCGCCGCGAGGGTCCTCCACGGCCAGGAAGACGGCATCGGGGATCGGAATGCGACCAGTCATCATTCGAGGGAACGAATACATCTCTGGTATCCGCCACGTGTTAAAACGTAGCTCCCAAGGTCTCCCTCGGTCGTACGAGAACCCTAAAGTCTCGCTTGCGGGGACCCTTCCGTTCCCATGAAGGTCCCTTGTCAGGAAGGGACTCATATGCGGGACTTCGAGGCATATACACATAAGCAAGGGCACGAGGGAAATGATTTGGAGGGTTCCACCAAACACGCTATCCTCGGCAATGAATTCATACGGAATATGTACTCCACGGAGATGAGCGCCGTAGCGAATAAAATCCACGTCGAGCATGTCGTCCTGAAGAGTCCATCGTACATAGTTTCAAATGATGGTTTATTCAATTAGGTTCTCCCATCGCCGGATTTCGACTCCGGAGTTTTGTGAGTTTTTTCTTGGTCAGCTTCCAGAAGGAGCGACGCAGCTCCCGCGATCGCAACCGATGAACACCGACCATTTGATGGGCCTGCGGATTGGGAATTGTACTTCCGAAATTCGCCCCCTGCGGCACTTCGGCTTTTGTAGTGCTGGCTGCCACACGCACTTCCGATTACCGCTCATCATAAAGCATGTGAGGAGCCTGAATGAGGAACCTAAGCAGAAACTGGGGAGGGCCTTGAGGAATCGATGATGAGACTGGTTGACAGCCCCCACAGTCATTGCTTGCGGACGGGATCACCCGATATTCGAGCGATTGAAGCTTCATTCCGAAAATTCGGCCCTCTTACTCGAGACGCACCTTCGCGGTGAGACCTCGCGAGATCCATCATCGTGGGATTCGCGAACCGGTACCGTCGGAGAAGTCTCGCTCGATCACGTGTTCTCGAATGATAGCGGAGAACCGATCTGGCCGGGTCGCCCCGTGTTGACAGATAAGCACGATAAGAGCTCGCTCCAATCCCCCCTACTCCTAGGAGTGAAGCGCGATAGTCGTTGTGGGTAAGCCGCAGGTAGGTTTACAATCCTCGTGATCATCATCGGATATTGATCGCATCGTTCCTTTTGTCCGTCTGAAAATCAAGCCATGACTGTTTTTTCAGGGACAACAGTGCGTGCTCCTCGTAGTCGAAGTACCTGCGACCTTCGCTGGTATCACACGAAACGATGCCGCCTTCCTTCCATTTCAAACCGATTCTTCAAATGAGGGATTGAATGATGAGTACAGAGAGACATTTGATGGGTGTATATATGTTTAGATACTCATTGTGATTTTTATACACTATGAACCCAACGAGATCACCTGATTCTCGTCGAGGAAATGAAATTGTGATACAATGGATTTCCCCTCGGAGCCGATGAGCATTCGAATACATCACATTTCCGACTCGATCATATCGCTGCGAATTCGATAAGCTAATGTACATATCCGGGCGCTATACATATATTGATTATCGGGCTCATACCGTGATTCCTTCATATGAGGGGATCTCATTCTCAGGGGCATTGGAGGACTCAAGACGGCCATAGCGTCGGGCATTCTGCTCCACGTACGTCTCGATTCTGGGGCGGAAATCGCGTCGAAAGGCCGGCGATTTACCGATGGCACTCAGATCTGATGCTATGAGTCAGTCAGGATGCTCTGAAACAAATACTCCAAGGGCATATTGATTGGTGTGCCCTCGAATCGAGAAAATAGGAGGGCGAGCCGCCCCAAGGGACCTGATCGCAATCATTTCTCGAAACTGAGGCGTTTTAGGCCTCTCCGATATGCGGGATGAGGTTTCTTGACGCCATTGAGCGGCACAGTGACGCCACGCACTCTTGGTCATTAGCCATGTGTCCGGAAAGCCTTATCACTAATCTCGGGTCCTGAACTCCTGACTGGGATCGGAGGAGTCTGGAGCTTTGGATGGATCTTGTCCATTTGGTGGGGCTCGTGAGCGGGATAAACGGTGAAAATTGCTACGACTAACATGGAAATGACGAAATAGCTGGAACGTGTCATCTGCCTGCGGCGGACCAGACGAGGATGGCTGATGGCGTTGTCCACGTGCTAGATATCGAAGAGTTCAGAGCCCTCGAGGCGCCACGCCCCCGGATCTTTTATTCCGTGATATCGAGCTGTAAAACACGCGGAATATTTCGAGCGGATCATTGTTGTGCTGATTAATGTACTCGTCGGGCGCGCTTCCCCATAGACTTGTAGAGCTTCGCTCTGAGCATCGCCAGCTATCTCGTATCGGACGGCTGTGGCAACAGCCGAATAAGACGCCGCGTGTACGTAATGGAATCGATTCTTTCGTTTGTTGGACACTCGTTACTCCAGCTGAACAACACATGGTAACACGCTGATGGACGTTTCGGGGAATGCTGGAGGATGGCAAGTCGAGAAAAGAGCGACGTAAGTATGCCCTCCATCAATGGCCGATCGTACACACCGTGCTTGGATGGGGCATTCCGATCGAGATGTAGATTACTTATAGATGTCTGGAAATTTGCTAAGGAAATTTCTACGACAGAGGAACTCCTGAGGAAAGTGTTCTTCTCTCTCCAATCGGGGCAGCTGTGCGATTGCTGACGGATCTTTACAGCACTGACGTGCTGTAAAGCTTGAAGCCTTGCCGGCGCGTGAACAAATTGTTGGCGGCTGAGATGTGTTCCTAGAGCGGCTCCGATGGCTGGTTACAATGTTGCACACGTCTCACACCCGTACGATAATGGCCGGCGCCGGCGGTCATGTTCCACTCGAAGACTTAGCATTGCCTTCTGGTACTCACGCGTGAAGCTTCCTGCATGAAAGACCAGCAAACTGAATTGCATGTGAAAAAGCGGATGCTATCATTGGGAGCAGAGCCCTTATCACCGAGCCTACGGGCGACGCTCTGAATCGCTGCGTGATGATCGCTCGACCATCTCCCGGTGTGAGCTAGAGGCTTTGCGATGCTCACAGAGTTCCAATCACAGGATAAGAGCAAGGCCACGGACGGATCCAGCGGAGCGTGTGTATTCAGCGAGTCCAGAGCAAATAAAATATTACTCGCCCCTCGGTCCGACTGTCGGCCTAGGAATCCCGAATTTTCGTTTTTTCCTCTAGTCGGAGTATCCCAGTGAGGATAACATGTTGAGCGCCCTATCCCTCGGCAGAAGAAGACATCGAGCTCATTTCAATAAGGCGGGAGCCCTTGTGAAAAGGGCGGCGGGGACTCGTTAAATGCGCAGAGATGGGTTTCGCTCGCCAATTCACAGCATTCAGGCTCACGGGATATCTGATCGAGAACGGAATCAATCCTATTTTCAGACTTCGGAAAACCTTTAGTTCCTCGCTTGCTCGTTCGGAGTTCGTGATTAGTATCTCGACGGGGCTCTGGAGATTATCCTGAGATGACTATCGCTGGACCTTCCCCCGATTCCGATGATACAGAGACTGGATCCGCTATATTACTTCAGCGACGGCTCCGAGCATGCAGCCTGTCTCTGCACCACCGGGAAATGATTGTTCCCTCAGCGTAGAATATCGAAGCTTAGAGGCCAGAGCTAGAAATAACATGAGCTCGGTGAGTTTTCTCCTCTTCGTATCGTACATTTATTCCGATCCCTTCTAGGTTTGAGTTTGAGTCGAATTCGCCGACCCAGGAGAGCTCAGGAATATAGCTGAGCAAGGCGCACATATGGAGCATCAGCGGCGTAAGAGGGCTATGCGGCGCGCGGTACCGAGCCCGGGGAGGCCGGTACAAAAAGGGCGCCCCTTGCGTCAGCGCATGGTGTAGCGCCCGGTGCGGGCCGGGACTGCCTCCTCAGTTACGCCCCCCTGGAGCACACAGTCACGGTGAAGCAGAGAACTTCTCACCATCACCATTTCACTCCCGATTGGAGGCGCAAACAAACAACAAGTCGAGGGAAGCGATGAGTCCAAATCGACACCCATGACAAGTCAGTACCCTCCGGTGACATGAGACTTTGGTGGGCAGAGTATACGACCAAGAGCAAAGCAATGAAAGAAGAATTTCGCGGCTCGGTCCTGACTCGACGCCGTTTCACCAGAAACGGAGAGATAGCCTTGTCGACCCAGAGGTCTTCCGGGGAGTTTGTACGCAATCTCTGTGGTGGTCGCTTCATCCGCTTTTCATACGATAGATCGGGCTCCGTTAAGCTCCATTAACGACATTCAAGTTCCTTGCACAGCTCCCTCAGTGATGCTCGCTTGGATGCACCTCGAAAAGGCAACTTCCAGCCGGCAGGTTTCCAACATCTCGATTTGGCTGCTATGTTTACACTTTTGTACATATACAATCGTACACATGTATTGTACATTCTACACCAACAACGTGTCTTTTTCGTAGATTCAATAGGACCTAGTCTGTCCAATAATATATATTCGAAGGGCGGAGGGAACATACCTACACAATGCTGCTCGTGCGTCTCCAAAATTCGTATCAATCGATCCGGGGAGTGTTGTTAGATCATTGGCTACTTGTCCAACAACAGACGCTTTTGGCGGTGCTTGGTGGGCTATCAGACTGAGCTCGGTCTGGTATGCGGAGGGAAGGTCAGTGACGGCTGCAGTCGTGAAATCGCATTGACATCATTCAACGAAGGCAGCGAGTTCCCATGAACGGGGATTTCCCCTCGAGGTCGACGGCGAGCGGGGTTCGTATCGTTTACGATCACCGGACTTTCTCGACCGCTTTCTCCCTTACGGACGCTGTTCTGGGGAGCGGTTGCGGCTGCCGGAGCTGCAGCGTAGCCGCAGCCAGATGTCAAGCTCTCAGTCAAAACTTTCCGGCAACCATAGACGGGGCAGCAAAGGACTGAATACGTTGGATCCTGATGGGGTTTCACCATACGCGATGGGTTCGGTCTGATCTGCTTGAGGTGTTCCGCTCCACAGAAAGGATCCTCGTCTGGATTTGGCTGGAACGTGCAGCAGAAACAGAGGAGGGCACGCACGATGCGCCGAAAGCCATTGCGGAAGCGTGTGCTCATCGTGACGTAGATGAAAGGGTTGATGCACGAATTCAGGAAGGCACAAAGATTTATGGCTAGCATCGTCGTGAAATAATTGTGACTCTGCATGTAGTTTGCGCCCGGGATTTGCGTCACCATTGACACCATGAAATATGGGGTCCATGACACCCCGAAGGCGATCGCCACAATGATCACCATCTTAGCAATCTGCGGACAATGAAAATATTAGCTTAGAGAGAGCTTGTGATAAAAACTCGCACCCCGGCTTATTTCCAAAGTAGATTATCGGAGCTAAAAAAGTAGGCGAAGAAGTGGCTTGCGGTCAGGATCACAGTCGGAGCCAATCTCACGTTCTGTGCAATGCGTATATGTGCTCATGAGGGCAACTTGACAGGGCTCACATATAAAGGAGCGTCGCAGAAATCTATGGTCTGATTTTATTATTGGTTTACCTTCCTCCGGTTCGCGTCCTGTCTCCTCAGACTCCCTGACCGGCACAAAGGAACACCGTGGAGTAGACATTGAGCGATCTTGTGGCATGTCCAACCTGTGGAGAAGATTCGAAATTTGACTTATTCGGCAGTTTTCTCGGCACGGTTTCTTCCTTGGAGACGACGCTCCTTCAGGAGCGACGCTCCGGAGTGTGCCACGTCAAAACTAGATACGTATGAGCTCGGGATGCGCGAGTCAGCGACCCATCGCACGGGTAGTCATCGAGAGAGTTTTGAAGTAAGACCCACAATCGATGTTCGGGCTCCCAGAATTCAACGGCACGCTGATGCTACCGATGTTCGTTCGATATAGTCGTCGATCCAACGTGCTGTCTCGTGGAGCCGGGCATCTCCATGGATAAGACTATGCATATTGATATATTCACAGAGATTTCTGCGAATACGGATATGAAGTCGAATACATCCATATTCATGTCCATTTTCATTATTTTATCCCTAAGCATGCATACTCAATGAATATTTCTGAATTGAGAAATGGGGCCGGCCCTAGCTGCGCCGCCGGTCACAGAGCGCGGGCTGGTGTGGAAAGTTATGACCGCTTTCGACTCAGCCGAATGTTAGCCCAGATTATCGTGGGAAACCTATGTATACAGCAGGGAGGTACGGCTCGACGGGTCGTCACAGGAAAGTCTCGAAAGCTCGGGGGTCTATCAGCAAATCATCATGATAGCAACACAGGATAGGGAGTTCGCTTCCTTTTCGTCATTCAGAGATCACAAACTGCACTGAAAGCCGTCTTCACCAAAGTTAGGAGACGGGAAATGAAGCATCAAGCTCTGAGCAAGCTTGCTACGATCCGCATCCCCTCTCGAGAGCCCATTATTCAGCCACGCGATTACTCCCAGCTCCTTTATAACAGGTGTCACGACTCATGACCCGATCATCTCGGAGCAGGGCGATTCCTACTTGGGAGTTCGACTCAACATCTATTAGATCCGCAAGTGAGGACTGAGTTAGCCTTGATGGAATACCCAGTCTCCTGAGATCTGCGAATCTGTATTCGGAGTCGCCGTACAGTACTTCGAGTTGAGTGGGGAAGATCTGCTTGTGATTGTCGGTCACACGGCGAGTCTCCGCCCATTCGAAGTGATTGAACGTGCCCGGCTCGCTATCGTTGGAGGAAATTCCGAGCAGATCGACGACACCAGAAATCTTCGACTCTGTATCCAGGAGAGTTGCATTCGCTCCTTGCAGCTGCAAGTTCAAATCATTGAAGTTTCCGAACAAATCACTCCGGTAGCAGACGTAGGATTCGCAATCGACAGTTCTCATCGGACCATCATATCAGGACCGTACGACAAGAATTCCCCCATCTGATCGAAGACTCCCATGAATATCTCGAGGAGTTCCCTTTCGATACCCAACGAAGCCCAATATGCAACAACGAACGAATGTTCGCGCAATTCGCATCTCTGCAGAAGTGTTCGAGCAGTTGATCAATGAGGGATAGCCCACCGTCCCGGAACGACGGAATTAGGATGGTGCATGCTTGTCCACTCTACGGAGATGACCGTGGTGGTGATTTGAATCTGGTGCGGTTCCTGATTTAGAATGTTCCCGAGAGGATTCAAACCCTCGAGCTTGTGACCAACCTCGAGTATTTACTCGCTGCCCCAAGTAGACCGGAATCTAGTTTCATCATTGTTTTCAGCACGAATCCGATCGCGTACAAACAGAAAATACGCAGCCTATCGACATTGTTTCTCACGACACGGAACAAAACCCGAAGAAGCGCCGCGTCATTCTCAGTCGTAGAAGAAGACTCGCGGAGGGATACTGGATCGTCATCAATTTCCAGTTTGACGCGAATCGTATTCTTTCCCCTACGTCGCATAGGCAAGTCACTCGCCGGTTCTGCCCCTTCCGCACGTCAGGGATCGGACACTTCGAGCCGTTCGTTTTCTGCTGCACAAGGGCATCACCATCTTCACATTCCGTGGAGTCTTGCTGAGCTCTTGCCACAAAAGCAAGTTTCTCGGCTGCCTTCGAAAGAAAGTCGTCGCTATGCTTAGTCTCGATGATATCATCAGTCATCACGACCTCCGTATGCACCACCTTCCGGCGTTAAAAGAACAATCAATCCTCCCAAAACGGCTTAAACCCCTTGCTGGATGACGGCGAGACTACGATGGATCTATGCACCCATATCGCCACATGCGGGGGGAGAAGGAGACCGAACACGCACGTGGGCACCGAATTCGACGCGCGAACATCTCTGCGAGCACTTCACGAATCCTCGAGTAGAGCGGCCGTCCCCATCATCGGGCTCCTACCAGACAGCGATGATGAACCCAGAGACTCTTAAACAGGAGCAACCATCGAGCACAGTTCATAAGGTAGAATTATTATCAATCCAATCTCATGCCCCGGGCTGCACCGATAGAGACGCTCTGGGTGCGAAACGGGGAAGACCACCGGAATCGAAGCCTGCGCTCGATGGGACTGGCTTGTGGAGAAGTAGACATCTGAGGATTTCCGCTGAAATCGGAGTATTCATCGACCTTCATCGGCCCGCGGTCTTCGGGGCTCGCCGGTGCCAGCTGCTCGCAGATGAGATCCTGGGAGCGACTGAGAAGATATTTCTGGTTTCTCGTGATCACACAGGGAATGTACTCTTTCTGAAAACGAGGCAGCGACAGAGCCGCTATTGCAGTCTTCTCGCTTTGTGTTCAGCGACGGTCGGAGACTTCATCGAAGCAGCGCATCAGCACCCCCGAGTATCCATCGATGAAGATTCCAGATATTCGTCAAGATAGAGAGTATCGTCGACGGTCAGGATCTTTCAGAGCTCCAGCAGATTCGACATACGGGCGATGCTTCCTCGAATCCTCACCAGAGCTCTCGGGGTGTCGTATAGGCTGTATCACAGCGTGGCTACAGGTCCCGGCAAACATGCGCCGGTGACGCTCGTGATAACTTCGGCTGGGTTTGGCCAACGACTCACGCTCTAGATATCAGTGCATTTCGCCATTGGCGAATCATAGAGAGCTCGCAGAAGACACATAGAGCGTGACACGTGAATCCCCTCGCGATTCCATCATTGAGCCCCACCCCCGGTTTACGCGCGGCATCTTCCTCCCCGTCGTCAACGTCTTCGCTTTCTTCTTCTCCGTCCTCCCCTAGATTGGTCTCCTCCTCTTCTTCCTCTCCTTCGGTTCTGGCCTGCGCATCCTCGTCTCGCTCTCCTCTCGAAGCCGTAATCTTGACGTTGTCAGGACCCACACAAAGACACGGAAGGCTTCGACAAAGTGAGCAGCTCAGCGTGAGCGTGAGTAAGCTCAATTACCTTGTCGAACGCGTGGGCTCCCGTTAACCGACGGCACGCTAATGCTGCCGCTCTTCGTTTCGAGGTGTCGGTGGTTAAATGTACTGCCCTTCCGGGAAAGCCCTCCTTTCCGCCAGACCAGACATCTGCAGTCGTCGCAACTCAGGCCTGGTGTCCGAGAGCTTCGGGCCGGCGGTCTACGCACCCGTTGTACATTCCGGTGACTCTGAGGCCCAAGGTGCGTCGCCTCATCAGCGTCAGCTCCGAGCGCTGGAGGTTGAGAAAGTTCACCATCATCCTGAGAACAGGGTCCTCGACGAACCGCAGGGTAATCATCGCCTGCGCTATGATGTCTATGAACAGACCGCCAAGGCCTTCTCGCAGGGGAACCGCGCGCTCTTCCGGAGACGCGTCTGACCTTCTTGCTATGGAGTGTTTATCTTGCACGGAAGCAATTCTTTGCTTCTCCAGCCAATAATGATAATCTTCGGAGGCCATTGCTCCTGCATAGGTGTGGTTTTTCTCCAAGTGGTTGATCAGATTCGATGCGCTCTTTTAATTGACGCGGACTTCCTCCTCCTGGTCTGGGATTGAGAGCGCGCATATTTGGCACCCAAATCTTGGAGATTTCTCGGTGCGACAGTCGTCATACTAGTTTCATAAACCGAACGATGGAGACTCCCCGGCACGCCATAGGACAACCCTCTGCTCCGACATTCTAGTTGATTGCGCTCAATTGCCATGATACGGTTGCGGACGCAGACGCAGCGACACTATCAAACCATGAACTCGACATCTTGATTCAAATCAGGAATCCGTGCTTGCCGAAACTCGCTTTTTTGGCATTCAGGGTCGACGCTATGTAGTGTCTCTTCCTGGCTAGGACCTCTCGCAAAATGATACGAGTAGAGCAACGCTTCCGTGATTTTGGACGTGAGGAAATCATTCGCGAATCGGCACCCGCCGAGGTGAGTTAGACGAAGTCGACGACAGATTCCTGTCTGATCGGAGATCCCCTGAATGTGGAGCTCTGAGGGGTCTTTTCTTTCTCTAAATGTCGATTCAGACTTCATCAATCCGGCTGTCAAGGGCTCTCTGCTGTTTCAGAGGGAGCGCTCCACGGAAGGTAATTGATTTACCATCGAGCTCATCGATCCACGTCGACAGATGTATCGACAAATCGACTGTGGACGATGCCCCTAGCCCTATAAGATCCCTTCAGACTACCCCTGATTCGGAGCAGCCCTTTTCCATTCGCCTCAGCGTGGGATGTGAAGACTTAATCCAAATGAGTCGTGCTATGTTAGAATGAACTCCTATCCCGAAACCCTATCGGAGGAGATACGGAGCCGGGACTTTGCTCCTGCCCGCGATGCTCTCGATCCAGAGCTCACTGCTTTACCGGGAAAGAGAGAGGGCGGACTCCAACAGCGTCGCAGCCGAGACGCATCCATTTCAATCTACGTTGAAGCGAATCATCGACGCAAGTTCAACTTGGACACTGATCTTGAACCGAAGTACCGTTGGACTGCTTCCGATATCAGGCGAGAATTTTTATAAATGAGACCCGCGTATGAGAGTGTGACGAGCTCACCACAGCGCTTGATTTTCTAAGCACCACGGGAATACCGCTAACCCTATGATTCGCGACACCTTCCGTGTCGGAACCGGCTCATGCATCTCCGATCGGAGGGATCCGTGTACAGGTTTCTACTTTCTGAGAGCGAACTGCTCGTCTTGCCTCCAGCTTCTTCCGCGGAAAACTCATAG